TTTCTTTTTTTTTTTTTTTTTTTTTTTACTTTACAATGAGTTTTCTGGGTATAACCCTATTTTTTAAAAACCAATGGTAAAAAGCCTATTAATGAGAACTAAAACATGAAAATTATGTTTAGACAGAAAAACACAGCTTCATTTAAAATTCATGAACATACAACAAAAATGTAGTTTTACTTAAGCAGTTGACATAACCCTACTGAAAGTCAAGAAACATCTGCATTAATATGATACAAAACCGATTTCAAAACAAAAAGGAAAAAAAGACTAAAATGTAACTACAAAATGGCAAGAGGTTTGGTTTATTGGGAAGGGGTCTTGAATCTAAACTTGTTTGCAGGTATAACATAGCCTTAAAATACAGAGGAAAAGTCAACAGGAAGATGGAGCCCCTCTTCAGGAGAGAGCAAATTGTGCCCCTACAGAGGAAGAGTGCTACACGTACAACCAGCAGTTAACAGGACAGGGAAGCTTGGAAAAAAAATAGAGACAGAAATTTGAGCAACATAATTTACATAAGTGAGGTAATGGACAACAATGAAAGCCAGAACCCAGTCTCTTGAAAATGTGCATTCTTTTCAAACATTTGGAAATCTAGTAACACATTTGGAAGCAACCAACAGGCCAGAGGTGGAATAATAATGAATTAGAGTGATAGTGAAAATACTGGAAAACAAAATTTAGAAGCTGTAAAGAAATATTATTTAAAAAGAAATGAATAGTCTTTCAGCCTTTTAATAGGAAAGTAGAAAGGCTAAGCAAAAGTTGAAATCCAGCACAAGAAATGAGAAAAAGAATACCAGAATGAACCTAAGGAAAGTAAATGGAAGGAAATAAAAACTAGAGAATAAATACACAAAATGGTAAAGAAAGTTGAAATCATAGACTCAACAGTCAAACATTCTTTATGTGAAAACACTGGAAAAGGTGATGAATCTTTGCAATACTGGTGAAGAAGCAAAGAGAGAAAAAAATACAAAGAATATTAAAGATAAATCAATTTGGATATGAAGAAATTTAAGAGATTCAGTGGTACCTTGGTTCACAAACCAATTCGTTCCACAATTCTGGAGAAGTTCATCACCCAGTGCAGAATTCCAGAACCAAAGCAAAATTTTGCCAAATGCTTCTTTTCGTGAACCAAGGCAACACTAGAAAATACTTACCCATGAATGTGTCTATGAATGTGAAAATGTGAAACTTAGTGGAAATGGCTAAATTCTTGGGAAAATATACATAACAAACAGACCTAAGAATAAATAGGAACTTAAACGGTCTTATAACCACAATGATAAGCAAAGAAACAAATAAGAAAAACCTTGAACCTGAACATAAAAGTTATTCCTCAAAGAACATACTAGGTCCACTGAAAAGGTTTACCAAATGTTCCAAGAATGGTAATAATTTTTAATTCAGAATAGAGGGAAACAGAAACCAAATACCAGCCAAGAAGAGTGTCAAAAAGGAAAATTACAGCTCAATCTCAGTCATGATTACAATCACAAAAATTCTAAACCAAACATTAACACACTGAATCTAGGGATGCGAGAAAAAGATAACGGTTTCATTTATTCCAGTTTTATCTTACAAATGCAAGATTGATTCAACATGGATTTGAAACAAAATAAAACAAAACAAAATCCAAAAGCTAAAGAGTGTTGTTACTAGCATTTTTGGTGTTAAAACTACAGAGCTGGCTGTCTTCCACAGTGAAACAGAAATAAAAAACCAAACAGACCTGCTAACTCTCTGGGGAAGAGCACTCCTGTGTGACCTGCAAGGACCAGCCCCTCTCCGGCCGCAGTTCTGGTCCTCTCTGAGAGAACATCAACCTGTAGCTCCTCAGCGCAAGCCTCAGGAGAGTTTAGTGGGCTCACTGGGCACTATCCTGCTGGAAAACCCTCCGGGGCAGAATGGACCCATCCACCACTCTTTCGTGTGAGGCGGCCAAGGTCTTTGGTCTTTGCAGCAGGCAGCGGAAGCTGTTTCTGAATGAGACTCAAACCCAAGAAATCACAGAAGACACTTCCTGAAGACTGAACATGAAGACTGCGGATGTTTCTGTATTGCCAACAACTGCAGAAGCTAGTATGCATTTTCTGTGTGGGTCTGTTAACCCTTCCCCTGGACTTTTCCCCTCTACATTCGTATCCATGGACATGAAGAAATGTCCTTCAGTTTAATACGCTGCTTGGGCCCCAAGTTCAAAGAGGATTGATAAAGCGACTCGAGACTTCACGTAATACTCATACTTAACCTTAAACACCCATTCAGTCATGCTGGGGAAAGTTTTACCTCAGCACCCCAAAGTTTATTTCTATACTTGAGTTTATAAAGTACAGAGAGTAGAATTCACTTAAAAGGCATAATATATGTGAGTACTAATTTATGGCCTTTAAAAACTGACTTGAGGCCTTTGAAGAAGTAGACATGCTATATATTTCTGTTACCTGGATTTTCCCAGGTAATTTGATGGAATGTTTTATGTTTCAGTAGATCAAACAAGTAAACTCTCCCAGACATAAAAAAACAACAAAACAAAAAGGAGAAGAGAACAGGTAAATAATAGATCCAGAAAAAGAATTCAATAAAAGTCAACAAGCATTCATGTAAGAACTCTCGGCCAACTAGGAAGGAACAGGGTACTTCCGGAAACTGATATGGAACCCCAAGAGGCCTGACAGCGGCACTGTGCAGCACCCCACGGAGGCGGGCCCAGGCAGTCCTGCTGAAATCAGGACGGAGAAGAGCGCCAGAGGCCACCTCTGTCTACACTGCAGAGAGCTCCAAGTCAGCCAAAAGCCGACTTGTCAGCCTGGGCTGGGTTGGCTCTGCTGGAGCTCACAGCTGCAACACCCCAGAGACTTACAGTGGACTCTCAGGCCTTCATTGTCCACACCCATTTCACAGCCCTGGAGGCTCTCTTCTGCGACCATGACAAAAATGAAAAGAATACAGCTTGGAAAAGAGAGCAAAACCGTCCTTATTCACAGGTGATGTGACTGTGTACATGGAAAACTGTAAGGAACAACAGACGCATATACAGGATTAAAAAAGGTTTTCAATATTGTCAGATACCAAAGCGACAGACAAAAATAAACTGTATTCTGTGAATAACAACAAGCAGACAGGAAACCCAATAAATACACAGTTGAAGTAAGTAATGGACAAACACAGAAGGCTATAGTCATCTGAGGATACACACACACACACACACACACACACACACATATACACTTTTAAAACATCTAGAAATCTGAAAACATTCAAAAATAAACTGTACAAATAGATTACCTCATATACAGTAGTAAACACTATATATAGGCACATAGGACAAACATCCACAAAAATCTGTGTAAGACTTTATGGAGAGAAGCTAGACAGGGTGGTGCACACCTGTAATCCCAGCACTCAGGAGGCTGAGACAGGAGGATCACTGTGAGTTCAAGACCAACCTGGGCTACATAGTGAGATCCAGGTCAGTCACAACTACATAGTAAGACCCTGTCTCACCCCCACAAAAAAAAGACTTTATGGAGAGAAGCTAGACAGGGTGGTGCACACCTGTAATCCCAGCCCTCAGGAGGCTGAGACAGGAGGATCACTGTGAGTTCAAGACCAACCTGGGCTACATAGTGAGATCCAGGTCAGTCACAACTACATAGTAAGACCCTGTCTCACC